ATTAGCAAAACAGGTTGGGAAACCCGGAATTTTACTAGCGAGTCAATATCACAAAACATAATTGTCCTCGGTAACCAGAAAATGTTTTGGAAATTTACCAGTATTTTTTTTAATATAAACATATATAGGAAAATATATCAATAAAAAAGTGCGAACTTTGTCATAAACCAACAGCATTAACAAATCTGAATTTCTTGCCACACCAAAATGGCAAGAATGGTGGTATGAACTAAATATACTATTGACAATGGGTGGATTCAATATAATTAGACATGTGAACTAAAAAATGTGCAGCTGTACTTTGTATAAGTATCTAAGTCTGCCTTTGTACGTTGTAGATGTAGAGGTTAACTGCCGATGGATTTCTGTACTCCCTTGAATGTATATCACTTCCAGGCTAAAGAATATTGTACAGATTGACAAGAACATTACACCTTTATACGAATTATCTATGACAATAGTTGTGTCCCTTTACACTGCTTTAATAATGCATGTGCATTATTTCTGTAGTATTGTATATATGTTAAACAACGGAGTGCTATCAAATATTTCATTTACCCTCGTAAAATGGTTTATATACACGTATACAAGGCTTCCTTCCTGTAACTTTTGGTTCGAGTAAGTTCCGAATGATCGTAGACGCTTGTTTACAAATAATAAAACTTTCAGCATTAATTACAAGCGCTAAGATAACTCTGATCAATTAATTACTATGGTAACGATTTAATTGACTGTTTCACATTATAATTTCTGCTCCCCTTGCTCTCCTCTTCTTAACGCTGCTTTGGAAACGTATAAGCCATATTCGGTCTTAGGCTAAGCATGCTAAAACACAAAATACAACATAAGCAGATCATGGTTTAATTTTGCGACCTGTATATAGACTTACGGGATGTACAAGCAGAAATATTGCAGTTACCACATTTACGTATAAACTATGATATATTTCTGTTACGATGTTGAAGGAAAATACCATTAATTCTGCCATCAATTATTTTTGTCTAGACACGTCTTTCAACAGACGAAAGAATTTTATCATTTAGAATTGAAAAAATGTATGCTAACGTACCAGAGGCTGGTACTCGCGTTTTAGAGATCTTAAACTCGTTACATTAATATGTTACGAATACAAGTTGAAATCTTCGCAGACGCGGTATTGTAAAAGAGTATACCAAAATGGTTTTGTTGTCTCAAAAAGCCTTCGTAGAATTTGTATGATTGCCAAAAAGGATCCAAATTATATGAGAGAGATACAAAAAGCTTAAAGAGTAAAATTAAGCAAGGAAAAATAGGGATCACCTTCAAAAAGAAGGAAAACTAAGAAAAAGACCGAAAAACTAAGGATTTGTATGGTTTGGCCTGGAGACTTCACTGTAAAGGAATCTACCGTAGACATAAAATAATGGTTTACAACTTAACTTGTCAGGTAATCGGTTTCTGGAAATCGGTCTAAGATTTCATTCAAAAAGCGGTGAAATTGATCATTGCGTTAAAATGTATCACACGTCATCGTGCGCGTGCAAAGCACGTGTAATGTTATAGAGGGATTCTGTACTAAGACAGACAGAGAGTGCTATCTCGTCTATAACTAGAGCACCGTCTCGATGTTTTTAATGTCGGATTTCCGCTATCATTCTGTCTGGAAAAACAAACTTGTCTGTCTAGGAACATAAACAGGTGCTTCAACCTAACTAGTACATCGAAAAGCTGCGAGGCTTTAAATACCTTTATTTAAATGTACATATCTCAAAAAATTCAAACGGAAAAATACAGAATACTTTTTTTTCACTTGGAGATCTTAACACAATACTATTAAAATACTTTTAGTAGTGCAAAGCTGTCTAGGGGGTCCAAATATTGTCTACATTCCATTGATAAATGGATCATTCGCTTTGCCCGGAAGTCCTTGACCTTAGAGAAAATCTGCAAGAAGAACAGCTAAATAGGCACGTGTCCTTGTGAAGGATGAGCGACATTTGTAAGCAACTAGAACCATGGAGTCTGAGAGACTTGTGTCATATCACATCAACCATGAATGTAAAGTTACAACCATTGAGTCTGAAAGACGTGTGTCATATCACATCAACCATGACTATATAAATTTACAACCATTGAATCTGAGAGTCGTCTGTCATATCACATCAACCATTGAATCTGAGAAACGTGCGTCATATCCCATCAACCATTGAATCTGAGAAACGTGCGTCATATCACATCAACCATTGAATCTGAAAGAGGTGCGTCATATCACATCAACCATTGAATCTGAGAGAGGTGCGTCATATCACATTAACCATTGAATCTGAGAGTCGTCTGTCATATCACATCAACCATTGAATCTGAGAAACGTGCGTCATATCACATCAACCATTGAATCTGAGAGGCGTGCGTCATATCACATCAACCATTGAATCTGAAAGGCGTGCGTCATATCACATCAACCATTGAATCAGAGAGACGTGCGTCATATCACATTAACTATTGAGCGCTTAAATAGAAAGAAAAGTAGCTAAGGTATGTCGGTATTTTTTTCCAACACACGCTACAAGTTTAATTGATAGTCTGCCAATGTCTATGAACAATGACATTTATATCTCTTATTGTTGCAATTAAGAAAATCGTGAAATGAAAATTCACGTTTCTAGGTTTCCATTTTAGTTTTACACCCGTCGAACTTTAAATAAGTCGGACGTACCCCGCTAACGCTCTTCGAACAGTGTATATCGCACAAGTACAAAAATAGCCAGTTTCCTGTTTGTTTGCACTAATATACTGGCAGACGACAGGCTCGCCATATTTAATCAAAAACTACATTGTATAAAATTTTCTGATAAACTGCCTTAAACTCAAACCGATATCTCCGTGTTCATCTATTTACAATTTGGACAGTCTGCTTTTATTTTGGTCAACAACATATGACTGGAACATGTTACTGCGCGTGTGGTAGGAACTCCTGTGCTTCCTTTCATTCATAAATACTAGCCTGTTAACGCAGTGCTAGTACGCTTCAAAATAAGTTCCTGTTGACTTCTGCTTGGTTTATCAAGTAGCATCTGTTACAAAATGCCGAAGTTAATGTTATCAAATTTTCTGCGCTTTTTCTATCCCCCTTTCCTAAAACAATTCCCTGATAAAGTTTTTCAGTGACCTTACCCAAACAGTGTTTTGGTTACAACAGTTGCTCCATAAGCATACCACGGAAGGTTATCGGATGCCTACTGGTGGGTGTTGGGGAGTGTGCGATCTCGGAGCTTCAAAGTCCCTCTAATTACCTCTACTACAAATTTTAAATACTCAGTTTTTCTCCAATCCGTTTAAAAAATGTAAGCAATATTCACTTTCTCTGTTTTACGATTATAACTTAATCCGACCATATGCTGTTTTGTCGGAAAAGCTATATCGTGAATGGAATCTTTGCAAACCATCTAGTTCGTTATGAATTGACGGTAGTAGCAACTACTGTTGGGCCCCGAAGACACATCGACTTCTTTACAAACTTACTGAAGCAACTGTGGAAACCCCAAGACTTATCAGGACCTAAAATAACATGTTGCTGTCCCGTTTTACGGACATTTTTTTCTTCTTCTTCTCCCTCTCCGGCATGACCTTGAATAGTTGGTACATTCAAAGTTTTGTATTATTATATAAATTACTTTAAAAGTAACTGAATCTAGTTCCTAGGCACATACCACCTCCACATAATTGTTGATATCGTGTCGCTATATTGTACAGGCCAGGTATGTTAGGGATCATTTCATCAAACCTGTCCATTCTCATCTTTCCTTATATCCTATCTGTTAACACGTTCTTTTGGGTACATTCATCCGATACCCTAATCGTGACAATGGTGAAGATGAAAAAAAGAATGTTAACATAATGAACATTAGTTTATATGCTTACATAATGAAAACCTCTGTGAAGATTTATTTTTAAAATCTACAATATCAAAAACTGTGTACTTAAAGTCATTTATACAATTTCTTGTTGCTTTCACGAGTTGACTGTAAGGTGTGAAAAGTTGAATTCTAAGTGATAAAGACAAGTCATTGTAGCAATAAAGGAGATGGCAGTAAGGACAAGGAAACACTCAATATAATGTGAACTTCGGGTAATTAAAAAACGGTCCTTGTAGCTCTGGCGAATTAAAGGTAAGAACAGGGCAATATTCATTATAAGAACTTTAAAAAACTTAAGAAATTAAAAAGCCCTTTGTAGCTTTGTTGATTTGAGGGTAAGGACAGGTCAATAATGAAAACAGGCCCTTGTAGCTTTGATGATTTGAGGGTAAGGACAGGTCAATAATGAAAACAGGCCCTTGTAGCTTTGTTGATTTGAGGGTAAGGACAGGTCAATAATGAAAACAGGCCCTTTGTAGCTTTGATGATTTGAGGGTAAGGACAGGTCAATAATGAAAACAGGCCCTTGTAGCTTTGATGATTTGAGGGTAAGGACAGGTCAATAATGAAAACAGGCCCTTGTAGCTTTGATGAATTGAGGGTAAGGACAGGTCAATAATGAAAACAGGCCCTTGTAGCTTTAATGAGTTGAGGGTAAAGACAGCGTAATTTTAAATAAAAATGTGCATTTAAAGCTAATAAAACAGACCATTGGAGCTTAAGTGTGTCGACTGTAAATACATGTAACTAATGAATGGGTCACTGAGTACATATTATCCGTGGGCACGTCTACATACGACAATAGCAATCAAACAATGCAAAGAAAACAATAACACATGTTGGTACAATTAAATGTTATATTTTCTCCCTTGTTACAAAGTGGGTACATAATTGCCCTGGATTTCTAGGTTATCGCTGATTGTTAATACCAGGTGATAATAATAACGATAACTCGATTAGTCTTTATCTATAGGCGTTGATTAGTCCACGACACTTAATTAATATTCCATTTCTTCATACCCTTGCAAAAGCGATATACCTAGATCTAATTTCAAAAGCTTGTCATACGAAGTTTGATTCCCTGGGCAAGTCAATGGATGCATGGGTTGACCTCTGGAAAGTTTCAGTCTCTGTTTGACCGCAGGAGGTTGAAGATTAAACAAGGTAGGTTACGATCCTTAATACTCCACGCATAACACTCCCTCTCTCCCTCAAAATACCACATCCACAACACTCCCTCGTCATACTCCACGCATAACACTCCCTCTCTCCCTCAAAATACCACATCCACAACTCTCCCTCATCATACTCCACGCACAACACTCCCTCTCTCCCTCAAAATACCACATCCACAACACTCCCTCGTCATACTCCACGCACAACACTCCCTCTCTCCCTCAAAATACCACATCCACAACACTCCCTCGTCATACTCCACGCACAACACTCCCTCTCTCCCTCAAAATACCACATCCACAACACTCCCTCGTCATACTCCACGCACAACACTCCCTCTCTCCCTCAAAATACCACATCCACAACTCTCCCTCATCATTTTCCACCCACAACTCTCCCTTCATCATACTCCATCCACAACTCTCCCTCATCATACTCCACCCACAACTTTCCCTCTCTCCCTCATCATACTCCACCCACAACTCTCCTTCTTCACACCCCATTCACAGCTCTCCCCTCATCATACCCCATCCACAACTCTCCCTCATCATTCTTCACCCACAACTCTCCCTTCATCATACTCCATCCACAACTCTCCCTCGTCATACTCCATCCACAACTTTCCCTCTCTCCCTCATCATACTCCACCCACAACTCTCCCTCATCATACTTCACCCACAACTCTCCCTTCCTCTTACCCCACCCACAACTCTCCCTCATCATACTCCATCCATAACTCTCCCTCGTCATACTTCACCCACAACTCTCCCTCTCTCCCTCATCATACTCCACCCACAACTCTCCCTCGTCATACTCCACCCGGAACTCCCCCTTCATCATACCCCATCCACAACTCTCCCTCATCATACTCCACCCGGAACTCCCCCTTTATCATACCCCATCCACAACTCTCCCTCATCATACTCCACCCGGAACTCTCCCTTCATCATACCCCATCCACAACTCTCCCTCATCATACTCCACCCACAACTCTCCCTTCCTCTTACCCCACCCATAACTCTCCCTCATCATACTCCACCCGGAACTCTCCCTTCATCATACCCCATCTACAACTCTCCCTCATCATACTCCACCCACAACTCTCCCTTCCTCTTACTCCACCTGCAACTCTCCCTCGTCATACTTCACCCACAACTCTCCCTTCCTCTTACCCCACCCACAACTCTCCCTCATCATACTCCATCCATAACTCTCCCTCGTCATACTCCACCCACAACTCTCCCTCATCATACTCCATCCATTACTCTCCCTCGTCATGCTTCACCCACAACTCTCCCTCTCTCCCTCATCATACTTCATCCAGAACTCTCCCTTCCTCTTACCCCACCCACAACTCTCCCTCATCATACTCCACCCGGAACTCCCCCTTCATCATACCCCACCCGGAACTCTCCCTTCATCATACCCCAACCACAACTATATGAAGGATTTAATCAGTTTCCCCGGTGTGTACAACTCACGTGAACATCTCCTACAACATTCCATGATGTATGGACGTGTAGTAACACTGAAGTGGAATGGTATAAAGATAAATGTGTTATAATGTACACGATAACAAATTTAGTGTAGTTATGACCTTACATCTGTAATACCTACTGACGTAGAGAGATCAATTTGTTAGACTTAATTATCACCCGTAACGCGGAGAAAAGATTTACACAAATTGTTTAAGGTACATATTATGCCGTCTGATTACGTGATAAAAACGCCCTCGTTTCCGTCAGTGTCTGTCCTTAAAATAAACAAGCTCACGTACAAACCTGCATGTAGGTGTTCAACATATCTGACAGAGAGTGTAAGTTTACATCTATCTTATCCCGTGATTTAACGCCAGTGTATTGGTGCCAGACGTAATGTACAATGACCATGCGATGTCACTTCTGAACAAACGCTGTTTTGAAAACAAGTGACGATTTTCTCTCATAAAAAAACAAAAATCGATCAGGCAATTATAATGTTGACCAGATCTGGTGTTGATCAGCGTCTGTGTCCGTCTGTAACCAAGTTATTACATATGTCCTTGAATTTGTTGTTGAGAAAAGTAGTAGCCAATTTCTTCATATTATCTCCACAAGACGAAAGCCTCCTACATCATCATTAATTCAGTAAAGCTTTTTACCAGCGTTGAGACCGTTCTAAATCAGATATCCAGACTGAGAATTCTAGTTGTAGTAAATAACATTTAAACTGTGTGCAATTCTTTTCAAGCCTGAATCAACACACCATTATATTTTCAAGCGCCGTCTGATAACAAGTTGGTTTACATATGACGTCATATCTAGAACTGCATGTCCGTACAAGCTTTATATGTTATTCGGTTGTTGTCGGTGTACCGAGATACAGTCAGATTTATAGGAGGCGGAGCTATGCATAGACTGTTATTCAACTAGGCCAATCATATCTATAGGGGATGGGACAAAAAGTGGACTGTTAATCAACCGAGCCAATCATATTCATAGGGGGCGGGGCAAATGATAGTCTGTCAGTCAACAGGACCAGTCAGATTTGTAGGGGGCGAGGCAAAGCATAAGCTGTTTGTCAATATACTTATAGTGGACCAGTCAGATTTACAGGGGATGAGACAATGTTTAAACTGTTTGTCAACAGGGCCAATCACATCTAAAGTGGGCGAGGCAAAGGGTAGAGTGTTAGTCAACCAGTCAGAATAAAGAGGACCAGTTTGACTTTAGGGACGAGGCGATGTATAGACCTTTAGTCAACAGGTCCAGTCAGAATTTCAGGTGGCGAAGCAAAGCGTAAAGTGTTTGTCAACAGGACTAGTAAGATTTAAAGAGGGCGTGGCAAAGCGTAGGTGTTAGTCAACAGGGTCATTCAGATCTACATGTTGCCTGCTGGCCATTCCGCTTTTTTCTGATCATTCCTAAAATTCATGGGAGTTCGGGAAACCTATCTTTGAAACTCGAGAAAGAGCAATCCAATATTCCTCAAGAAATAGATATAACAATCTTTCAAAATCAAAATTCAAATAGTCGCCTTTCAGCCATTCTTTATCAGTCCTAAAACCAAAAGAACACAACTAGGGACCAAACGGAAAATGATAACTAACAACGTAAAAGTCAAAGATGACCGCCTGTCAGTCGTTGCTTTTCTGATCGGCCCCAAAATCAAAACAACACAGCTTGATAAAAGGGGAAAATCACATGAAAAAAAGACTTATCTGGTGCTTATCAGAAATAGAGACTAGATTTGTTTCAGACTGACAATGGACAAACGGGAAAGCAAGGCAATTTGAACAGCCAACCATTTCATGATGTGGTATGGGGATGGGGGGATAATTAAAACAACACAACTTATCCGTTTCATTCATCTTAGTTAGGATATTTTTTTGTAACTTTGTGTTTGACGACAAATACAGATGGTGATCACGTGACGTCAAATATCCAATGGGATGGATGGATTTTAATATAACGTCATCTTCAGCAGATACCGTTATATCTATAGCAAGGCAACCAATGTATAAACATATCATAAAATTTCATCTGTGAATTAACTCACTTTTAACTCACTCAAATATGTTCACATTTTAAATTTTTTTTCTACAGATGACGACGACTACTTGGCTAAATACCACCACAGTTAACACCTCCTTACTAAATTTCAGCAATGACGACAACCTGGCTGATTCCGCTCGCGTAGCCTCTCTTCACGCAAAATACATTACAATTTCCGTTTCCGGTATACTCTCAAACGTTTTTCTCACCCTTCTTATTTTTCTTTCCAAGACCCTTCGGAAAACGCCCCTTTTCTGGAACATCCTTAATTTATGTGTATACGACAGCGTGATAGTGATGTTTGTTATCCCATTTGGTCTGGACTATGAACTGGACTGGTCATGGAGTTACGGCGTGTGGATATGTAAGATGTGGTATGCTGCCGATTTCTGGCACATGTTGATGTCAGGAATCGTGCTTTCCTGTATCTGCATTGACAGGATTGTCGCTACGCTACAAACCTTCATTCCAATACGAGTACAAGTACTAAGATTTATTTCCATATGCCTTGTGACATTTCCGTGGATTTTCCTGCTGACTGTGTGTATCCCATTGCTTGTGGCTTTTGAGAATACCGAGAGTCAGATGCCATCAGAATGGTGTTTCTTCCAATTTCACGACAAACACACGATGACATTTGCAATTATATCTTTGGCATTACCGAACATCCTCTTGGTTGTCACCAGTATAGTCATGTTGCTCGTCTACATTCTAAGGGGAGGTAACTGGAACAAGATACCGTCCAACCGCGCAGACGCAGAGGAAGTCCGTCTGAAAGCATCAATTGCCTTAGTATGGGTAGTTGTCATCTGCAGTCTCGTGTGTTGGTTACCAATCACATGTCTCGTCTTCTTCAACCTGATGTTCAGGTCCAAGTGTAGGGATTTCACGTGGGAGGACTATACCAACGTGTATCTGTTACAAGTGATGACCTCCTCCTTTACATCTTTCCTCTGGATCCTCTTACCGGAAATACGTCACGAATTGGCGGTGTGGCGTCATTTTCTATCCGGAATTATATGTCTAAGAAATAAAACTCCGGACAATCTAGTTACGTCTTATCAAGCAGAGACATACGATGAAACAGAAATTCAAGATAATACAAACTAGACAAAAAACAGAAAAAAGAAGTAGATTTCTAAAAAGACTGTAATGTGTAATGTTTGTTAATGGAATACCAAGCATCGGAATGCTTGACTATCATAACAAAAATCAACAAAGCTAAGCAAAACAAGAAAACTGGAGATAATTGAGTTCAAAACTATTTTTGTGCTGATTACACTTAATTACAAACATCACTAGGAAAGCCGCTATTTTGAAAGAAGAGAAATTTCACCAGATCCACAGTCAATGATTTTTCTTAATAGACGAATATGAAAAATAAATACAGAACTCGAGTTCAATAATAGAACGTAATGGAAATACATCATCGTAATCTTTCTCAATGGTTTGTATACAATGTATGTGTCCGTCTTTAAACAAACATCCTTGAAATTGTTGTTGAAGACCGCATTCGATAAATTCACGATTTCTTTTCGTGATGAAAGCCTCCATTATCATTACTAATTGAGCAGACTGTTACTAGCGTTAAGTGCGTTTTAAACAAACTGTCCAGACAGAGGAATTCTATTTGTAATGAGTAACGCTTATACTGTAGGGAATTCTTGATATTTTTAGTTATTCACAACAATATGTTACTGCAGTTTCCCTGTGTACGTATGACGTCACCGTAGCTAAAACCGTGTCCATGTACTCTCTAGTTATAGGTGTGTGTTTAGTTACGGTTGGTCTACATATATGTAAAGGTAAAGTCAGATTAATGGAAGGCGAGGAAAATAACTTTTATTTTAGCGAGAAACACCAACATCATCACTTAGCGAAATCACACGGACTATAAATATATATACTTCATTTCTCTCATAGAATCTAAAAACTGAACTTTATTCCAAATAGCATTGGTTCTCCTACAAATAAAATTGAAGGCATCAATTCAAAGAACAATCGGGGCATGATTGAGGCGTTAAAATTATTCTTTTGTTTATATGAATACTAACCACGTGATACAGAAGGCTCATCGACAACACCATAGGGTGACATTGAAGGCTCATCGACAGCACCATAGGGTGACATTGAAGGCTCATAGACAATACCATAGGGTGACAACGAAGGCCCATAGACAATACCATAGGGTAACATTGAAGGCTCAAAGACAACACCATCAGGTGACATTGAAGACTCATCGACAACACTATAGTGTGACATTGAAGGCTCATCGACAACATCATAGGTTGACATTGAAGGCTCATAGACAACACCATAGACTGACATTGAAGGCTCTTAGAAAGCACCATAGGGTGACATTGAAGGCTCATAGACAGCACCATAGGGTGACATTGAAGGCTCATAGACAATACCATAGGGTGACATTGAAAGCTCAAAGACAACACCATCAGGTGACATTGAAGACTCATCGACAACACTATAGTGTGACATTGAAGGCTCATCGACAACATCATAGGTTGACATTGAAAGCTCAAAGACAACACCATCAGGTGACATTGAAGACTCATCGAAAACAACATTGGGTGACATTGAAGGCTCATAACCAACACCATAAGCTGACATTGAAGGCTCATCGACAACACCATAGGCTGACATTGAAGATTCATCGACAACACCATAGGGTGACATTGAAGACTCATCGACAACACCATATGCTGACATTGAAGGCTCGTCGACAACATCATGGAGTGACATTGAAGGCTCATAGACAGCACCATAGGCTGACATTGAAGGCTTATAGACAGCATCATAGGCTGACATTGAAGGCCCATAGACAACACCATAGGGTGACATTGAAGGTTCATAGGAAACACCATAGGGTGACACTGACAACTCATCGAAAACAACATAGGGTGACATTGAAGGCTCATAACCAACACCATAGGCTGACATTGAAGGCTCATAACCAACACCATAGGCTGACATTGAAGACTCATCGACAACACCATAGGGTGACATTGGAGGCTTATCGATAACACCATAGGCTGACATTGAATGCTCATAGACTGACATTGAAGGCTTATAGACAGCACCATAGACTGACATTGAAGGCTTATAGACAGCACCATAGACTGACATTGAAGACTCATCGACAACACCATAGGGTGACATTGAAGACTCATCGACAACACCATATGCTGACATTGAAGGCTCGTCGACAACATCATTGGGTGACATTGAAGGCTCATAGACAACACCATAGGGTGACATTGAAGATTCATAGGAAACACCATCGGGTGACACTGACAACTCATCGAAAACAACATAGGGTGACATTGAAGGCTCATAACCAACACCATAGGCTGCCATTGAAGGCTCATAACCAACACCATAGGCTGACATTAAAGACTTTTTGGCAACACCATAAGGTGACATTGAAGGACCATAGACAACACCATAGGGTGACATTGAAGGCTCATAGACAGCACCATAGACTGACATTGAAGGCTCATAGACAGCACCATAGACTGACATTGAAGGCTCTTAGACAGCACCATAGGGTGACATTGAAGTCTCATAGACAGCACCATAAGCTAATATTGAAGGCCAATAGACAACACCATAGGCTGACATTGAAGGCCAATAGACAACACCATAGGCTGACATTGAAGGCTCATCGACAACACCATAAGCTGACATTGAAGGCTCATCGACAACACCATAGGCTGACATTGAAGGTCCATAGACAACACCATAGGCTGACATTGAAGGCTCATCGACAACACCATAAGCTGACATTGAAGGCTCATCGACAACACCATAGGCTGACATTGAAGACTCATCAACAACACCATAGGGTGACATGGAAGGCTCATCGACAACACCATAGGCTGACATTGAAGGCTCATCGACAATACCATAGGCTGACATTGAAGGCTCATCGACAACACCATAAGCTGACATTGAAGGCTCATCGACAACACCATAGGCTGACATTGAAGGTCCATAGACAACACCATAGGCTGGTATTGAAGACTCATCGAAAACACCATAGGCTGACATTGAAAGTCCATCGACGACACCATAGGCTGACATTGAAGACTCATCGACAACACCTTAGACTGACATTGAAGACTCATCGACAACACCATAGGCTGACATTGAAGACTCATCGACAACACCATAGGGTGAATTGAAGACTCATTGACAACAACATATGTGACATTGTAGACTCATCGACAACACCTTAGGCTGACATTGAAGGCTCATCGACAACACCATAGGCTGACATTGAAAGTCCATAGGCAACACCATAGGCTGACATTGAAGACTCATCGACAACATCATAGGTGACATTAAAGGCTCATCGACAACACCATAGGGTGACATTGAAGACTCATCGACAACACCATAGGCTGACATTGGAGGCTCATCGACAACCTTAGAGGTAGTGTAGAGAAACATCAGATCTACAAAACGTCAGATATCACACTGTTAGTGCAGAGAAACATCAGATCCACAACCAACAAAACATCAGATATCACACTGTTAGTGCAGAGAAACATCAGATCCACAACCAACAAAACATCAGATATCACACTGTTAGTGCAGAGAAACATCTGATCCACAACCAACAAAACGTATCACACAACCAACAAAACGTCAGATATCACACTGTTAGTGCAGAGAAACATCAGATCCACAACAAACAGAACGTCAGATATCACACTGTTAGTGTAGAGAAACATCAGATCCACAACCAACAAAACATCAGATATCACACTGTTAGTGCAGAGAAACATCAGATCCACAACCAACAAAACATCAGATATCACACTGTTAGTGTAGAGAAACATCTGATCCACAACCAACAAAACGTCAGATATCACACTGTTAGTGCAGAGAAACATCTGATCCACAACCAACAAAACGTCAGATATCACACTGTTAGTGCAGAGAAACATCAGATCCACAACCAACAAAACGTCAGATATCACACTGTTAGTGCAGAGAAACATCTGATCCACAACCAACAAAACGTCAGATATCACACTGTTAGTGTAGAGAAACATCAGATCCACAACCAACGAAACATCAGATATCACACTGTTAGTGTAGAGAAACATCTGATCCACAACCAACAGAACGTCAGATATCACACTGTTAGTGTAGAGAAACATCAGATCCACGACCAACAAAACGTCAGATATCACACTGTTAGTGTAGAGAAACATCTAATCCACAACCAACAAAACATCAGATATCACACTGTTAGTGCAGAGAAACATCTGATCCACAACCAACAAAACGTCAGATATCACACTACTGGTGTAGGAAGATGCGCCAAGAGTAGGTAAGGATGCACATTCCACAGAATCTTTGCCGGTGAATTTTGTTTCAAATACTGGATCTTTATTCAAGTTTTAGGAATAATTACTTAAGTTTTCCGTAGATTGGGCACACTCTTGGCAATTCCACAGGTGATTTAATGATATAGCTCGCCACTTAAATAAGAGACCGGCTTAATCCCTTAATTAACCTTCGAAGAGAAGACATAAGTAGGACCACCTTTCCTAATCCCTCTTGTTTAAATGATTTCCTGTGCCTATAGCACGTGTTATCACAGTTCTACCGATACTGCACCACACCTGTTCTTGTAGGAATTTCTTTCTGCCCTGTCTTGTGTTTCTTTCTATTCAATGTTTAATCAGCCCTTATACTTCACTACAGATCATATATACTTGGCTGTTTTCTCAGTCGTAAGTAGTTCGCTGGAATGGAATATTAAAAGCAACATCACATTTATACCTTGAATATGAATAAACATTGAAGTAATGTTGGTTATTAATTATAGGGTTGTTTCTTTGATTACCGCAGATATAACAAAGTCTTCAATACAAGAAGAATCGGTCAAAAAATATACAAAACCGTTCTGAATTTTTACAATTTTGGAATGGAGGTAATAAAGTTTGAAATATTGAAAATCAAGCATCCGCGTTTTAGATGTTCCAGTTTTTGAAAGTTTTAGAATCATTTATTTTTTATATTCAAAGCTCCGAGAACTCAAGCTTCGTATCAAACATTCAAGTGAACCTGATCCCCAATAATCGAAGCCGGAAATAGATAAAAAGCCAAATTATCATGGTTTTTTTATCAATGCGGATATGATATTCAGCTGATGGGTATTACATTGGAACAGAACTGCTCTGGTATAAAATGGTATAACTCGTTTCACAACCTTCTTAAAAGCTTTTGAATTTCTGATGGTATTGAATTACAAGTATGTTTTAGTACAGAATAACTAGTGTATATCTTAGTTTATGCTGCAAAATGAAAAAAATATGTTACATCGATTACCACATCTTGCTTTAATGCTGTAACATGTCTGGTACAAGTTGGCCTATGCAACATTTTGGATATTTCAAACAACAACAATTTCGTTAACTTAATTACTTACTTGATTAATTACTTAAAACACTGAATGAAGTCCTGGTATCATTAAGAGGTTAGGAGATATTAAGAGAGGAAGGTATAGAAATTGGGATGTAAAGAGATCGGAAGGTGAATACAAATTAAGATATATAGTTATATATTCGGTAGGTTGATACATCAGAAGGTATAGAGATGGGACAATCAGGGGATGAGGTTAAGAGATCGGGAGGTATTGACATCGGTATCAAAAGAGATCGGGAGAAATTGATATTTGATGTAAAAAGATCGAAAATTACCGGGGAGTAAAGAGATCGGAAAGTAAAGAGATAGAAAATACAGAGATTGGGAGGTGGAGAGATCGGTAGGTAAAGAGATCGGGAGGTGGAGAGATCGGGAAGTAAAGAGATCGGAAATACAGAGATTGAGAGGTGGAGATATCAGTAGGTAAAGAGATCGGAAGGCAAAGAGATCGGGAGGTGGAGAGATCGGGAGGTGGAGAGATCGGGAGGTGGAGATACCTTGAGGTAATGAGAACGGAAATACAGGGATTGGGAGGTAAAGAGATTGGGAGGTGGAGAGATCGGTAGGTACTGAGATCGGAAATACAGAGATCGGGGGGTAATGAGATCGGAAATATAGAGATCGGGAGGTAAAGATATCGGAAATACAGAGATCGGGAGGTAAAGAGATCGGGCGGTGGAGAGTTCGGGAGGTAAAGAGATCGGGAGGTGGAGAGATCGGGAAGTAAAGAGATCGGGAGGTGGAGAGATCGTGAGATACTGAGATCGGAATTTGGAGAGATCGGGAAGTAAATCGATTGGGTACTACTGGTATCAATTGTTGAAGTGATCGTGGTATATAGAGGCAGTTTTATTCCATAGATTTTGTCAAAATTATCAACAGGAATTAGGACATTCAGGCACATCAGGAACAAGAACAATACAATACCATTATCGAATACATGAATATAACAGATAAAAACATTATTTTATCTTGTACAAATCTTCTTTATTTTAAAGTATACATCGACTGGAACGTGAACTGCACGTGAAAGTACGTTGATCTGACCATTTAAACTGACCGAGTTTAATCCGGTACCAAATATTTCAACGTACGAAGAATCAATTTTCCGTTCCCATAATAAAAACTACACTAATACCTTCAAGACTTTTGCTGACTAAGTGATATTTCTCATGACACCTGTCAATATCGCACTCACAATCGATGCACGTTTCAAATGCACGTGCGCAAAAGGTTCAGTATCTGTATCCAGTTGACGCTATGACGTCGAAGTTTGTTTACAAATACGTACGTACATATATATAATTCCTATCTAGTTGTAATAAGACTCTATAAATGCAGATAATTCAAGTGCAGATATATTAAGAAATTCCTTTTTGAAAACTGTAAACGAAAAAAACACAAAAAAAGTGGCGTGAAATGTGTTGTAGTAGAGATTTGATAACACTGCACCGATTCGCTCCGCACTAGGATCGCGTATCCAACACCACTACCACATCAACGCATTCTTAACCACACAGAAACGAATTTAAACCAACTTGATCTTTTTTCTAATCGTGTCAAACTTGCTATCATACACATAACGATAACACACCGACTACCCTGGATTCTCACTCCTCCCGAGCCGTGCCCGGTGGTACCCATTTAATCTCCTACCATTTAAAATTTTCTAGCACAAAACACGAAATCCTCCTACTGTTTTAGCCTATACCAAACACGCTAGAGACATATATGCTTCTGGTGTGTAAGATTGTATTATCTGCAGATACGTAAATCCATGAATATTAATAATGCAAAATTCACTTATCAAGCTCTGACCTTTGACGTTTGACCTTAGTTCCCCGTCTGGCGCCCCTTACCTTGACCTCACCCGGTCACGGCAGCAGACAGACGGTGAGAGTACTAGGATGCTGAACATCGCTTGACATCGTTAGTGTGTTCATTGCGAGGTGACCGAACGCGTGGTATTGGAGCAGAGCAGCATGTATCCAGCATACAACAGCACGGTAAGTACACTTCTTTTAGCACACGAGCAATGTGACTGACAATTTGGGAAACACTGACCAATATTACGTATCTATAGATGTATGAATGAATGACAGAGCCGATGTCCGCCAACCAGACACGCGAGCCGTACGTTGATAATAGTGGCGATAGTAGTATTTGTTACAGTGTTGCAGACAATAACATGGGTCATGTATTTAGATGTTAAGCACGTTTGCACACGTTCTAACCATTTTGACAGATTATAAACAGCATAACGGATATTTTTTTTTCTTTCTTTTAAAACCAACATTCGTTAATGTCCTTGTAAAAGGATTTTTGTCGCCTACCGAGTTTGGATCTGTTGACGTTCTAATTTTTTTTGTTTTGTTTTGAAATGAATAGTAGGATTGTATTTTCACCTCAGTCAGAAGGTGTTTTCGTTGTTGTGTGTGACGTGTATCAAACGTCCAGACTTGCTAATTCTTTAGATATATATCATTTATGGGCGAGTTTATTCTTACCGGGACAGTATTATTACTGTTTTGATGGCCCAGTTCATACTGCTTTAGCCCTTTCAGCGGCTTTAATGGCATATGTTATTTAAAGAGCCGTGACGGTATATGATTTATTTGTAAGAGAATAAATAAGACACCACAGTACGGTCATGTCCGTACGGCGATGTTAGCCTCTCGCATCAGATGAGACGGGAGTCGGACTCACAAAAACACTTTCACCACAGCTAATATTATTAATAATAAATGCCATTTAACAGTCGTCCACACTTTAATGAACGTTTAGGGAGCTGTAGGAAAATGTATCAAACCTTCTGACTACCAGCTTGCACGTCTGATGGTGACGGAACACTGCAAGAAGCCACAGGGGTTACTTAGTATTTCGTGCCGTGACACACCACTCGCCTGTGTGACCTTGTTACATTGTAAACACAAATACATTTGCTTTCCTTGTCAAGTCCCTTAACTTATTTTGTCAGCGTGTGGTAATTATTAACTTATATGTATTTTAGTTATTGACAAAGTTCTCTCTCATGGGATATGCCATTTTTGTAGTTGTTTTTCCTATGTAAAACAGAAACCCCCGCTCTAAAGCAATAACTCAGCAGGATAGCCGAGGTCTGCTAGATAATATGTTGGAGCTAGGCTAACGTAAATGGTAAAAATTAAAAGCCTGGAGATGAAACTGATCGATACTATGAAAATGCTAACTTAATACACCCACCACAAGACTAGTGTGGAACTAGCCGCACAGTAAATAGATGAAAGAAGGATTAAGATTTGGTTAACCAATTTCTCCTCTATCTATAGAATACGAAGTCGGAAGAAATCGCAGGAAATATTGTTTATACTACCTCGCAACCGAAAATATCTACCAGTGGAAAAAATTACCCCTAATTGGGTCAATATCTAAATGTCTCTGTCCAATAACTTTATCATTGATCTCTATTTACCCTAATTCCTAAGTCTGCATCACCAATTATTCTATAGTTATTGTATCATCAGTTATTCTATAGTTATTGTATCATCAGTTATTCTATAGTTATTGTATCATCAGTTATTCTATAGTTATTGTATCATCAGTTATTCTATAGCTATTGTCTGTATCATCAGTTATTCTATAGTTATTGTATCATCAGTTATTCATTGTATCATCAGTTATTCTATAGTTATTGTATCATCAGTTATTCTATAGTTATTGTATCATCAGTTATTCTATAGTTATTGTATCATCAGTTATTCTATAGTTATTGTATCATCAGTTATTCTATAGTTATTGTATCATCAGTTATTCTATAGTTATTATTGTATCATGTTATTCTATAGTTATTGTATCATGTATCATCAGTTATTCTATAGTTATTGTATCATCAGTTATTCTATAGTTATTGTATCATCAGTTATTCTATAGTTATTGTATCATCAGTTATTCTATAGTTATTGTATCATCAGTTATTCTATAGTTATTGTATCATCAGTTATTCTATATCAGTTATTCTATAGTATTGTTATTCATCAGTTATTCTATAGTTATTGTATCATATTATTCTATAGTTATTGTATCATCAGTTATTCTATAGTTATTGTATCATCAGTTATTCTATAGTTATTGTATCATCAGTTATTCATCAGTTATTCTATAGCTATTGTCTGTATCATCAGTTATTCTATAGTTATTGTATCATCAGTTATTCTATAGTTATTGTATCATCAGTTATTCTATAGTTATTGTATCATCAGTTATTCTATAGTCTTATTCTATAGTTATTTATTCTATAGTATTGTATCATCAGTTATTCTATAGTTATTGTATCATTTATTCTATAGTGTATCATCAGTTATTCTATAGTTATTGTATCATCAGTTATTCTATAGTTATTGTATCATCAGTTATTCTATAGTTATTGTATCATCAGTTATTCTATAGTTATTGTATCATCAGTTATTCTATACTTATTGTATCATCAGTTATTCTATAGCTATTGTATCATCAGTTATTCTATAGTTATTGTATCATCAGTTATTCTATAGTTATTGTATCATCAGTTATTCTATAGTTATTGTATCATCAGTTATTCTATAGTTATTGTATCATCAGTTATTCTATAGTTATTGTATCATCAGTTATTCTATAGTTATTGTCATCATCAGTTATACTATAGTTATTGTATCATCAGTTATTCTATAGTTATAGTCAGTATCATCAGTTATTATATACCTCTTCAATAATTTAATATGATTTTTCATTTCCTTGAATCCTTAATATTGCAGGCTCCTCCGGGACCTTAGTAGAGGCGGAATCGACACTTATTTTTCAGTAAATCTTAGTTGTACGTCCGTCCATGTTTCTGTCAGTGCATGCAAAGCTGATGTACATATTTACACTATAACATCACACTAGCAAGTTAAAATATAAACTATTTTACAACAGTTGCGAAACATTTTCTTCCAACTTATAGTAAGCATTCTTGTTAGTCCCAGTTTGGAAGCGCACTAGGAGTTTTTCTGTGAAAGGAAACCGGAATATTCTGGGGTAACACCTCGTTGTCCGGCAGGTGACCTATATCTTTCCAAATCTCTTCCGGGAATCTCGGGTGCTAGCGGTACTTCTTCTGTACCAGATTAGTTTTAAGTGGTCATTAATCAATGTGACCTTTGACCACGTTGGAAATGATATGAACCCATAGAGGTCATATTCACACCTGGTAAGGTTAAGTCTGTCATCAGTCAAAGTAAAGAGGTTATACAGGAAGTGAGCGTCACTGATATACAGAGATGGAGAATACTCTCATTAGACTGTGTCAGAAATGGGTGTCACTGATACAGATATAGAATACTCTCGTCGGACAGAGATGGGTGTCACTGATTCAGAATGAGAATACTCTCGTCAGACAGAGATGGGTGTCACTGATACAGATAGAGAATACTCTCGTTAGACAGAGATGGGTGTCACTGATACAGTTAGAGAATACTCTCGTTAGACAGGGATGGGTGTCACTGATACAGAGTGAGAATACTCTCGTCAGACAGAGATGGGTGTCACTGATACAGAAAGAGAATACTCTTGTTAGACAGAGATGGGTGTCACTGATACAGTTAGAGAATACTCTCGTTAGACAGAGATTGATGTCACTGATACAGTTAGAGAATACTCTCGTTATACAGAGATGGGTGTCACTGATACAGAAAGAGAATACTCTTGTTAGACAGAGATGGGTGTCACTGATACAGATAGAGAATACTCTCGTTAGACAGAGATGGGTGTCACTGATACAGAGTGAGAATACTCTCGTTAGACAGAGATGGGTGTCACTGATACAGATAGAGAATACTCTCGTTAGACAGAGATGGGTGTCACTGATACAGAGTGAGAATACTCTCGTTAGACAGAGATGGGTGTCACTGATACAGTTAGAGAATACTCTCGTTAGACAGAGATGGGTGTCACTGATACAGTTAGAGAATACTCTCGTTAGACAGAGATGGGTGTCACTGATACAGACAGAGAATACTCTCGTTAGACAGAGATGGGTGTCACTGATACAGTTAGAGAATACTCTCGTTAGACAGAGATGGGTGTCACTGATACAAATAGAGAATACTCTCGTTAGACAGAGATGGGTGTCACTGATACAGATATAGAATACTCTCGTTAGACAGAGATGGGTGTCACTGATACAGATATAGAATACTCTCGTTAGACAGAGATGGGTGTCACTGATACAAATAGAGAATACTCTCGTTAGACAGAGATGGGTGTCACTGATACAAACAGAATACTCTCGTGAGACAGAGATGGGTGTCACTGATACAAATAGAGAATACTCTCGTTAGACATAGATGGGTGTCACTGATACAGATAGAGAATACTCTCGTTAGACAGAGATGGGTGTCACTGATACAGATAGAGAATACTCTCGTTAGACAGAGATGGGTGTCACTGATACAGATATAGAATACTCTCGTTATACAGAGATACTCTCGTTATACAGAGTGGGTCACTGATACAGAGTGAGAATACTCTCGTTAGACAGAGATGGGTGTCACTGATACAGATAGAGAATACTCTCGTTAGACAGAGATGGGTGTCACTGATACAGATAGAGAATACTCTCGTTAGACAGAGATGGGTGTCACTGATACAGATAGAGAATACTCTCGTTAGACAGAGATGGGTGTCACTGATACAGATAGAGAATACTCTCGTTAGACAGAGATGGGTGTCACTGATACAAATAGAGAATACTCTCGTTAGACAGAGATGGGTGTCACTGATACAGATAGAGAGAATACTCTCAGACAGTTAGACAGAGATGGGTGTCACTGATACAGATAGAGAATACTCTCGTTAGACAGAGATTGGTGTCACTGATACAGATAGAGAATACTCTCGTTATACAGAGATGGGTGTCACTGATACAGATGGAAAATACTCTCGTTAGACAGAGATGGGTGTCACTGATACAGATGGAGGATACTCTCGTTAGACAGAGATGGGTGTCACTGAT